CATAGCGACCATCTCTAGCCTGTCCCACAGCCCAACACAACATAGCCTACTATCTCTAGCCTGTCCACAGCCAACACAACATAGCCGACCATCTCTAGCCTGTCCACAGCCAACACCACATAGCCTACTATCTCTAGCCTGTCCACAGCCAACACAACATAGCCTACTATCTCTAGCCTGTCCACAGCCAACACAACATAGCCTACCATCTCTAGCCTGTCCACAGCCAACACAACATAGCCTACCATCTCTAGCCTGTCCACAGCCAACACAACATAGCCTACCATCTCTAGCCTGTCCACAGCCAACACAACATAGCCGACCATCTCTAGCCTGTCCACAGCCAACACAACATAGCCTACTATCTCTAGCCTGTCCACAGTCTAACAGTCAGTATCTAGATATATAAAATGCTTGATAATGTACAAAAGTTTTAGAACACCAACTCATTCAAGTTTTCTAAAAACTATTTTCTACATTGTAGAATAATAGTGAAGACATCAAAACTATGAAATAACACATATGGAATCATGTAGTAACCAAAAAAAGTGTTAAACAAATCAAAATATATTGTATAATTGAGATTCTTCAAATAGCCACCATTTGCCTTGATGACAGCTTTGCACTCTCTTGGCATTCTCTCAACCAGCTTTATGAGGTAGTCACCTGGAATGCATTTCAATGAACAGGTGCGCCTTCTTAAAAGTTAATTTGTGGAATTTCTTAATGCGTTTGTTCCAATCAGTTGTGTTGTGACAAGGTAGGGGGGTATACAAAAGATAGACCTATTTGGTAAAAGACCAAGTCCATATTATGGCAAGAACAGCTGAAATAAATAAATAGAAACGACAGTCCATCATTACTTTAAGACATGAAGGTCAGTCAATACGGAACATTTCAAGAACTTTTAAAGTTTCTTCAAGTGCAGTTGCAAAAACCATCAAGCGCTATGATGAAACTGGCTCTCATGAGGACCGCCACAGAAACGGAAGACCCAGAGTTCCCTCTACTGCAGAGGATAAGTTCATTAGAGTTACCAGCCTCAGAAATTGAAGCCCAAATAAATGTAGTAACCAATCCAATGAATCATGTTTATGTAGGTTTAGGTAGCCGTATATAAGGCTCTATGTAAGAACCGCCCTTTTACAGCTCACCTCAGACCGGTACTTTATGCATCTAAGTTTGACTGCGACCTCTCCAGCTTGCTGACAATAAAGAGTGATTCATTCAAGATTGACTTTGAGTGTCCCTGTGTAAGAATGGTAAATACAATGGTATTTTACAGTAAACAAATTGACAACAGACTTTCAGCACGCTTATAAGGAAGGGCATTCAACAAGCACAGCACTTACATAAATGACTGATGATTGGCTGAGGGAAATTGATGATAAAAAGATTGTGGGGGCTGTTTTGTTAGACTACAGTGCGGCTTTTGATATTATCGATCATAGTCTGCCGCTGGAAAATATAATCCAGGTAGAATCAGGAATTCCCCAGGGCAGCTGTCTAGGCCCCCTACTTTTTTCAATCTTTACTAATGACATGCCACTGGCTTTGAGTAAACTGTCATGGTCGAAACATATTGATACAACAGTAGCTATGATGCAGAGAAGTCTGTCCATAATAAAGTGCTGCTCTACCTTCTTAACAGCACTATCAACAAGGCAGGTCCTACAGGCCCTAGTTTTGTCGCATCTAGACTACTGTTCAGTCGTGTGGTCAGGTGCCACAAAAAGGGACTTAGGAAAATTGCAATTGGCTCAGAACAGGGCAGCACGGCTGGCCCTTGGATGTACACAGAGAGCTAACAATAATATGCATGTCAGTCTCTCCTGGCTCAAAGTGGAGGAGAGATTGACTTCATCAGTACTTCTATTTATGAGAGGTATTGACATGTTGAATGCACTGAGCTGTCTGTTTGAACTACTGGTGCACAGTCCAGAACAGACTATGGGAGGCGCACAGTACTACATAGAGCCATGACTACATCAAACTCTATTCCACATCAAGTAACTGATGCAAGCAGTAAAATTAGATTGACAAAACAGATAAAAATACACCTTATGGAACAGCAGGGACTGTGAAGCAACACAAACATAGGCACAGACACATGCATACACACACATGGATTTTGTATTGTAGCTATGTGGTAGTGGTGGAGTAGGGGCCTGAGGGCACACAGTGTGTTGTGAAATCTGTGAATGTATTGTAATGTTTTTTAAATTGCTTTAATTTTGCTGGACCCCAGGAAGAGTAGCTGCAGCAGCTAATGGGGATCCATAATAAATACAATACAAAATACAAATCTCTAGCCTGTCCACAGCCAACACAACATAGCCTACTATCTCTAGCCTGTCCACAGCCAACAAAACATAGCCTACTATCTCTAGCCTGTCCACAGCCAACAACATAGCCTCCTATCTCTAGCGTCACAGCCAAAACAACTAGCCTACTATCTTCGGGCCTGTTCCACGGCCAACACAACATAGCCTACCTATCTCTAGCACTGTCCACAGCCAAACAACGCATAGCACTACTATCTCTAGCCTGTCCCCACGCCAACACGGACATAGCCGTCCACAGCCAACCACACATAGCCTACTATCTCCTAAGCCTGTCCACAGCCAACACAAACATAGCCTACTATCTCTAGCCTGTCCACAGCCCAACACAACATAGCCTACTATCTCTAGCCTGTCCACAGCCAACACAACAAGCCTACTATCTCTAAGCCTGTCCACAGCCAACACAACATAGCCTACTATCTCTAGCCTGTCCACAGCCAACACAACATAGCCTACTATCTCTAGCCTGTCCACAGCCAACACAACATAGCCTACTATCTCTAGCCTGTCCACAGCCAACAAAACATAGCCTACTATCTCTAGCCTGTCCACAGCCAACACAACATAGCCTACTATCTCTAGCCTGTCCACAGCCAACAAAACATAGCCTACTATCTCTAGCCTGTCCACAGCCAACACAACATAGCCTACTATCTCTAGCCTGTCCACAGCCAACACAACATAGCCTACTATCTCTAGCCTGTCCACAGCCAACACCATATAGCCTACTATCTCTAGCCTGTCCACAGCCAACACAACATAGCCTACTATCTCTAGCCTGTCCACAGCCAACACAACATAGCCTACTATCTCTAGCCTGTCCACAGCCAACACATACTAGCCTTAGACTGTGTGTGTTTACATCACAATAGACAGACTATACACACTGTCTGTTTGTGTTGTATTGTGACGTAGGTCGGTTCACTAGTATTCCCAGATCTTATACCAACTGTACTACAACCACATGACAGTTTAACAACAAACGTCAAGCCGCCTTCTCTTGCTGTTGTCTTCAGACAGCTGTACCAACATAATGCAGGGCCTCGTACACTACAAAGATCAGCACATTATGCTAGGCTAAATGTAGCTTTAATTTGGCTGGCTAATGTAGCTTTAGTTTGGCTGGCTAAATGTAGCTTTAGTTTGGCTGGCTAAGTGTAGCTTTAGTTTGGCTGGCTAAGTGTAGCTTTAGTTTGGCTGGCTAAATGTAGCTTTAATCTGGCTGGCTAAATGTAGCTTTAATTTGGCTGGCTAAATGTAGCTTTAATTTGGCTGGCTAAATGTAGCTTTAGTTTGGCTGGCTAAGTGTAGCTTTAGTTTGGCTGGCTAAATGTAGCTTTAATTTGGCTGGCTAAATGTAGCTTTAAGTTGGCTGGCTAAATGTAGCTTTAATTTGGCTGGCTAAGTGTAGCTTTAGTTTGGCTGGCTAAATGTAGCTTTAATTTGGCTGTCAGAAAAAATGGACTTTGACTCTTCAGATTCAATGACTTCCAACCATCAGCCCCGAGTTTCAAAACAAAAAGGTCATGACCCCAGAAGAATGGATTGAAAGTGGATAGACACTTTGGGTCAGCCAGGCCAAGGTTTACCAGACCAGAGAAGCTACAGAGAAGGGACAAGCCTCACTCAATTCTGTATGCCAATGATATCTTCATCACAATCATCTCTGTTAAAACATACTTTCCCTAATCCCTGTTAGCAATCTAACAAAGCATGTTTCTGGACCAGATGAGGGGGCCATGTGGTGCGATGCGGTCGTTCAGGAGAAAGACCAGACGTTCTTGTTGATTCTCACCAGGATGGTTTTGAAGTCTCCTTCTAGAAAGTTCCTGAACGGCGTGAGGAAGTTAATGGCAGAGCTCTGGATGACCTCGCTCTCCGCTCCTCCGATTTGCTTCTCCTTCTCGCCACATTTAATAAGAGCGTTTCCTGTAGGGACAGGAAGTAGACACAGGTCAACCAGGAAGCGGAAAAGTTTAAACCACAGAGACGTCCAGTCGGACAGACTCAAAATAATCTCAGATGCTGGACATTTTAGCTGCAGGCTGAACTTTTTTGAAGATGAGAACAGATCGTATGTGTTGCGCGCAGATGAATGAGGCAATTCGATGTTTTTCAAATATGTCCAATAAAATGTATTAATTCACAGGATAAATAAATCAATCATAAACGCTTATTTCCTTTCCCTTTTTTTTTTATAAACAGCATTTGTTTTTTTGTTGCCATGGCAACGTGCAGTTGTCAACATCGCTATTTCTGAGAGATGATGTTAAGTTAATTAGAGGGGTTATCCTACCCATCACTATTAAATAATGTGTTACATAGTCCTCATAGGGCCACTGTGGTAGATGGCATCCTAGGACAGTGTTTAATTCCAGGAAGATGTTCCCACCCCTTCACAGATCTGGGGAGCATTCACTACATTAACATTTTTGTCATTTAGCAGACGCTCTTATCCAGAGCGATTTACAGTTAGGGGAGTGCATACATTTTCTTACTTTTTCGAACTGGTCCCCCGT